AGATGCCAGCAAAGCTGTTGTGCCTTAAACTCACTTAACTAGAGAGAAAACTGCCCCAGGTAAGAGTTTCACCATTAGAGAAGTACATAATAAATGTGAAAACATTCTATAAATAAACCAGTACAGATCTTCAGCATACAATGAACAAGCATTAAAAAGTGGTGACTAATGACCAGAAGAGCTAGATAATAAATCCTGGGAGAAAAATGCTACCTAGCATTTGCCTAGCACTTCCCACTATACAGCATGGTTTTTATATCTGCCATCTTGTTAATTCTAAACTTTTGTGAGATAAGGATTGTCTTCCCCATTTTTCATCCAGTGCACAGGGTTTGAAATCAGACTACCTAAACAAAATCCTGGCTCCACTTTTCCAAGCTCTGTGATTTTATAAACTGCTTCATTTCTCTAGACATAGTGTTTTCATCTTTGAAATTAAATTAATACTATTAGTTACATCTCAGAGTAGCTTTGAGTATTAAATAAATTAAAATCTGTAAGTTAATATGACACAAATAAGTGATCGTTGCCCAAGTCAGTAATCAAAAAGTATTAATAGCTATTATTATTACAAATGGGAAACAGGTTTAGAAATGAAACTTGACAGGATCACGAAGCTTTAACATTTTATAGATAGCTACAACATGTACACACTCATAAGTTTTGATACACAGTAACACATACTAAGCATACATGTACATGTATATGTATATGGCTGAGATTAGTCTCTTTGGAAGCAACATGATATAATGAAAAAAAATCAAAACTTTTGAGTCAGATAAACTCAGGTTTGAGTACTGTTTTCAGTTGTGTTTGAATGAGATAGCATTGAGTACTTAATAAGCACCTGATAAATATTAGTTTTCTTAGTTTCTAACACACTGGCTAGTCCTCTTTTTCTTCCCAAAACTGCATTTGTTGTTGCTACTGTTGTTGTCATTTTTAATTTGTTTTTACAATACAGTATAAGAATAGAAGAAAGGGAAAACCCATAAAACTCCTTAAGGATCACTTGGGTATTTAATGGTAAAACTGAAAGTTTTCATATTCTAGAAAAAAAAGGGTTATAGTTCCGGAATCATCATGTATTAGTTGTGATATTGAGCAAGCACCTAATATCCTGAGCTATAAGTGGAGGTGATCTGTTAAATGGAAATAATCTCTCCTTTGGGCTCCTCAAAAGTTTGCTATGAAAATCTGGTGAGGTAAAGGATGTAAAACCCTATGTAAACTTTTCACTTGGGCAGGGCTATTTTCTCTCAGCTGAGTCCACAGGAGGAAGTCTTAAGGAAAGGCTAGACTGAGGATGGAAAATAAGAGGGAAAGGTGAAAAAAAAAAAAAAAGAAATGAAATAGGCAAGGTGAGCAAGAGTTGTGGATGAAAAGAAAAGAAATAAATAAAATCAAAAGAAAGAAAAGAAAACAAAAGAAAACAAGAATGAAGAGATGACCAAAGGAGGAGAGGGGGAAATAGAGAGAGAGAGAGATGGAGAAAGAGAGAAAGAGAAAGGGTGAATGAATTTTTGGGCTACTTGGAATTAGATATAGTTTAACTAATATACACTTGAAAATAGCCTTAGGGGGAAGGTCAGCTAGCAGTAGGTCAAGCCTCTCTTTCCTTTACCTTATCTTCCTGTCATCTCAGTATCATGTGGGCCTGATCCCCATTGCCCAGGACAAATTGCGTTGTTTTCCCTAGAATTTGCAAGTTTTTCCTTCAACAAAACAATGCTCTTTTCTCTCCCTCCATCTTTCTCTCTGCATTGGGCTACACTGGGCTGGACAGGTTTATTTTAGAGTGAAAGGATCACTCAAGGGAGCACAGGAATTCTTAGCTACTCTTGGCCGCCTGTCTTAATCTCAGCAGCCTTCCTAACAGAACCCTCTGTCAAGACTGACCTTTTGGTTCTCTGTTTTTTAAAGGTTTAATGCTCTTTCTTCACTCTGTAACTCAAAACAAAACAAATGAGCAAAGGGGGGGAAAGCGAGAGAGGGGGAGAGAGAGAGAGAGAGAGAGAGAGAGAGAGAGAGAGAGAGACGAGCCAAGAAACAGACTGTTAACTGTAAAAAATGAACTGATGTTTTCCAGAGTTGGTGGGGGTGGGGGGATGAGTGAAATAGGAGATGGGGATTAAGGAGTTCACTTGTGATAAGCACCAGGTGTTATATAGAAGTGTTGAATCACTAAATTGTACACCTGAAACTAATATTACACTGTATATTAACTAACTGGAATTTGAATAAAAAGTAAAAAACAAAAATAGATTCCGTATAGGGATTTTCTCACCTTCAATAGGCATAGGCCTTTCTTTTCTGGGACGGAAAATGGAGAGCCCCAAGAGGATCCAGATAGTACAAATACAATTTGTATTATTGTTTAATCATTATTACTGTATCCTAGTATGCTGGAGGTAGGAAAATTGAGGCCCAAAAAGGAAGGGACTCACCTAAAGTCCTCAGAACTAGTACTAGAACCTAAGAGTCCTAATACCTCAGCCTGGCAATAATTTCTGGCATATCACCTTTATATCATTCCTGGGACAATATGATTCCACTACATACTTGCATTTGTAGTAATAAGACTGCTTTATTTCTTCATACTCCAATTGTGGTATCATAGAAGCAAACTAATTTGAAATCAGAAGACCTAGAATCAAATTCTTCCTCTTGCCTGTAATAGCTATGTGACCTTTCAACAAATCACTTTTACCTCCCTGAGCCTCAGTTTTCTCATCCAAAAATAGCAATATTTATCTTACAGGAGTATTTTGAAATTAAAATAAATAGATAGATTTCAGACCCTACCAAAGGGCTTGGAATACAATAGATGCTCTGTAAAATGACTGAATGCATTATAGATTCATACATCCATAAAGACTTTTAGAAACCATCTTATTTCAACCCCAGAGAGGTGAAGGGATTTGCTCAAAGTCAACCAGCCAGTTACTGCCAAAGCCAGAATTTGAAAACATGTTTTCTAAAATATTTCTACTATTTAGACATTATGTATGAGAAATAATTTAGATTTTAAGCTGATAGTTTGGTTCAGCTATCGTTTATTGGCTTAGTCTATGCCAATCTGGATCTCAAAACACGAAACCAAGTGGTTGTTTCAAGCATTTGAGATTCTCACTTTAGTCTTCAGATCCATCACATCAATAAACTCCTCAATTTGTGAGACAGAGGACTAGCACATTATTTCAACAAGAAAATTAACTACTCTCTACAACTCCATAACCATTCCTGAAGCAGTTAAGCCAGGGTGGTCCTGGTCATTTTGGCCAAAGGAATGAAAGGAGCCTATTGTTCACTTTAACTTTCCTGCACACCTAGCCAAGCTTCCTCCAACTTCTCTGCCACTGACTTTCTCTCCCAGTGGCCAAAAATTCCCCTAAATCCAGCCACATAAAGGTTTTACAAAGAAAAGAAGGTGAGGTAGGGTTTGGAAAGGGAAGAAAGAAAGCTTACCTTTGCTAGAGTAAATCCTTCCATATTCATGTCAGCAGCCTAGTGATGCTGCACTGCAGACCCCAGCGAGAGACAGCCAGCCCTGTTCAGTCAGTATCCTGGGTTACAGAGCCTTTCTCATAAATTAAGTCCAAGATTCCAATTTGGCTGGTGTTACTGGGGTGGGGTGAATGGACGAGGGGGCAGTGCTGGGTGCCTTATATTGGAATGTCTTGTTTATCCTGGTTTGGTACAAAACACTAGATGTTTCTTTGACCATATATGGGTGTTTTCCAAATCCTGGTTAGGATCTCAGGAGGAATCACAGGGGGTGGGCTTCATTTTTGTTATTGAAGCTTGGTAGTTGGTCTTTTGCTGAAAAGGGGAGGAGAATGAACTGCCAGTTGCCCATTCAAAGCTCACAGATTCCAGCAGCTCTATTTCAGAAATATTATTAAATGTGGGAAGGGGCCCCACCACCGCCAAATTTTTTCCTTCTTGCTGTGAAGCACAGTTATCAGCCATGTCTGTTATTCTGAGGTGATCATTGCTTGGTAATAGAGAAAAATGAATCTAGTAATAAAAGAGCTTCCTACATGTCAGGCCCTAAGCTAACCACTTTACATGCATTCTTTAAGTCTCATGATTATCCTGTGAAAAGGATGCTCTTATTCTTATTTTACAATTGAATAAAACCAGTCTTTGAGAAGGAAGGTAGCTTGTTCAAGGTCACACAGTTAGGAAGTAAAAGTTGAGTTGGGGATTTTACTGCGTATGTCTAGACTTTTAGCTGCCACACTACCACACTGTGCTGCTAAGGGGAGAAACAGAGGACATTTTTGAGTTAGGAAAAGTGACTTCAAAATTATGTGCCTGCTGTCCACCAGTTACTGCTAGTTTTTTTTTTTTTAATGTACATTAGTTCTACCTCTGCAATTTCTAGTGAAAACCCAGGACTATATTACCAACATTTTTCCATCAAGGAGACCAGATGTAGCTTGAAAATAGGTCAACATCCTAAAATCTGAGAAGACCCAGAATAACTAGAAATATTAAATTAAAAAAAAAATTTAAAAAAAAGCAAATGGGCCCTAAAATTTCTAAGTGAAACTGGAGTTTGGATTTAAAAAACAAACAAAGGCTATCCTTGTCCCTGCTGGAAAGAGAGAGTAGTGGAAAGTGATTAGCCCCAGTCAAGTGCCCTAGGTTCCAGCCCTGGTTTGCTCTGGCAGTAATCAGCCATTTGGCCTTGGCCCAGGCTCTTATTTTCTCCTGGCTACAGTTTCTCCATTTGCATAATAAAGGCATAGAACTAGATACAGACTCTCCCAGCTCTATAAACTTACATATCTGGGATTCCATGAAGACAGCATATTATTTATATTAACAGTAGAAGAAAAAGAGATTTCAAAAATGCAAAGTATAAGGAAAGAATGGGTACTGAGTAATTTGTGGAGAAAAGGCAGATAATTTCATGCCTCTTTGGAAAGGACTGCATCTACCCAACAGAACAAGGTATAAGAAGGAGATAGGTATGATGGTGATTCCACCACTTAGTATCCTTACTTTGTGATGAGAGATCTTGGCTAGAAGCAGATGCTGTTCTCCAGGCAGGCTTGACACATCTTTCTCTCCTGGATTCAAAGTGTCTGGAGCAGGGTTCAGGGAGGAGGACTTTCAAAGACTGAACTGGTGGGGCAAAGTCTGGCTCATAAACCAGTGGAGGTGCTTAAGAGTGCCTAGACACTTGGGAGCTGCCCTCACAGACTGCACCCCAGGCTTAACCAAGTAGAAGCAACTGACGGGGAGAAGGGTGGAGTCGCAAGCTACAGTTCCCTGAGAAATAGTGATCAAAGGAAGCTGGATCAGGCTACAGCAGCCCTTGGAGTTATCTGCCTCTTTCCCTACCTGGCACGGATGCAGACCTTGGAGTTAAAGGGGAAGGTGGGGATCAAACCCATTAAGCTGAGATCCAAGTCCAGGCTCTAAGGCATTTATGACAGGGAGTGGAAGGGATAAGGCCTCTGTTGTGACTCATAAAAGACAACAAGAAAGAGGTCATATAGACACACTTAAGCCAACACAATGAAGGCTGCAGGAGGCAGAGAGGCTAGGTTTCTGAGCTTGTTTTATTCATTCAGCAATTTACTGCAAGGCACACAATGCCTACCTCTTCTACAAATCCTAGGCATATTTCTGGTGTTTTTCCTCAGGAGACACCTAAAAAATGCTTAACTTGATACCTATAGAATAGAGGTTTTTAAAGTATTTCAGTAAAAGGACAGTTAATAAATATTTTATTTGGAGAACATATAGCATCTCTCTGTCATAAGTATTAAAACAGGCTATTGCAGCACATTGGATATATCTATGAACCAATAAAAGTTAATTTCATAAACAAGAAGCAGGACAGATTTGGCCCACAAGCTGTAGTTTGAATACCCCCACTACAGCCTGCTTTGAAATATAAACACTTGTGGGGCGCCTGGGTGGTGCAGTCGGTTAAAGCGTCCGACTTCAGCCAGGTCAAGATCTCACGGTCCGTGAGTTCGAGCCCCGCGTCGGGCTCTGGGCTGATGGCTCAGAGCCTGGAGCCTGTTTCTGATTCTGTGTCTCCCTCTCTCTCTGCCCCTCCCCCGTTCATGCTCTGTCTCTGTCCCAAAAATAAATAAAAACGTTGAAAAAAAATTAAAAAAAAAAAAGAAATATAAACACTTGCAACATGGCAACTTATTAAGAGCACAGAAACTAGAATCAAACAATCTGGATTGAAATCTCAACTCTACAACTTCCTGAGCCTGTGACCTTGGAAAAGTCATTAAATCCTTCTAAACCTCAGTCTTACCTCTGTAAAATTGAGTATAATAATAGTACATATTTTATAAGGCTTTTATGAAAACTGAAATAAAATTACAGTATATTTAGCACAGTATCTGGCAAAAAAAAATTCCAAAAAAAAGTTATCACTCCAAATTTTTCAACAAAGAAATTAATCTAAATTCTTCTTAGAAAACAAGTTGTACTAATTCATGGTAAAAATAAAAAAAGAATATTTTGGAGTGCCTGGGTGGCTCAGTCGGTTGGGCTTCTGACTTCAGCTCAGGTCAGCTCAGGTCATGGTCTTGTGGTTTGTGAGTTCGAGCCCCACATCAGGGTTCTGTGGTGACATCTAAGAGCCTGGAACCTGCTTCAGATTCTGTGTCTCCCCCTCTCTCTGACCCTCCCATGCTCATGCTCTGTCTCTTTCCGTAATTAAAAAAAAAAGAATATTTCATGAATGCTGGTTTTAAGTTTTAGTTATTTTACTAAAGAAAACACAGGTAATCTTGGATACATGATTTTGCCTTTATGGGACTGAGTACTTCACCTGTAAAATGAAGAAGGTGGTCTAGATTTGTCATTTTTCAAAATTATTTTTGACAGCAAAACTATTGACCCAAACAGAATCTTACAGTAAATGCCCACTACCTATGGAAGATGAAAGTGTAGCTTTTCTGGTAAGGCTAGGAAAAGAAAAAAATTGGTCAGGGCTAAGGGTACCTAGGGACTTTCTCACTTGTATGGCTGCCCACCCAGGCAATGTGCTTAACCCTGGAGCACCAGCAAGGAATCTTGATAGCTTTAAAAGAACATTTGAGAAACACAAGACCAGAATGTACTTAAAAGTCCCTTAAGTCTCAAAACAAAAAGGCACCCTGCTGAATGGGAGAAAATATTTATAAATGATATATCCAATAAGAGATTAATATCCAAAACATATAAAGAATTTATACAACTCAAAACCAAAACCCCCCAAAAACCAAATAATATGATTTAAAAATGGGCAGAGGGCCTGAAGAGGTCCTTTAAAAAAAAAAAAAAGTTAAAAATAGTCTCTTAAATACAGAGAACAAACTGGTGGCTGCCAGAGGGGAGGTGGTTGAAGGGAGGGATGAAATAGATAAAGGAGATCAAGAGTACACTTACCTTTATGAGCACTGAGCAATGTTTAGAATTGTTGAGTCATTACAGTAAATACCTGAAAGTAATATAACACTGTATGTTAATTATACTTCAATAACAAAAAAAAAAAAAAAAAAGAAAGGAAGAAAGAAAAAGTCCTTTAACTTTCAAATACTTTCACTAACTCATCCATTTATCAATTCACCTAATTGATATTTCCAAGTTAACTTTGTATAGATAATCACAATGCATGGCCCTAGGATGGTTAGATGAGAGGTTCACAGGGTAGCTCACTATCTAATATGAGAAGCATGGTGTTTGAAGTTAGGACTAGCGATTGTATCCTACATGGTTTCTTCTGAACTATGTTACTTAACCTTTCTGAGCCACTGTTTCCTCATCTGTAAAATAGAAACAATAAAACATTCATGACTGAGGGCACCTGGGTGGCTCAGTCCGTTGAGCCTCCAACTCTTGATTTAGGCTCAGGTCATGACCTCAGTCATGAGATCAGGCACTGCATCAGGCAGTGTGGAGCCTGCTTAAGATTCTCTCTCTCCTTCTTTCCCTGCCTCTCTTTCTCTCTCTCTCTCTCTGTCTCATAAATAAATAAATAAATAAATAAATAAATAAATAAATAAATCTCCATGAGTGTAACATTGTGAGGATTAAATAAGCTTGCATTTGCATGAACCATTAGCACACTGCTCAACACATTAAGGACCTTCAATAAATGTTTTATTTTTCCTTTCCATCCTTCTTACAGTGAAATTTAGCGACAGCATAAGGTACTTGGTGAAAATAAAAGCCATGGGCAGGGTTGCCTAGGTGGCTTAGTGGGTTAAATGTCGGACTCTTGGCTCAGATCATGATCTTGCGGTTCATAAATTAGAGCCCCACATCAGGCTCTCTGCGATCAGCACAGAGTCCACTTCAGATACTCTCCCCCCTCTGTCTCTACCCCTCTTCACCTCTCATAAATACATAAACAGAAACAAAAAGCCATGGGCAGTGTTCCAGCATAGCCAGTCTGTCTGCTTTATCACAGGGTCATTTGATTTAGCTTACCCTTAACAGTTCTTCTAAAAGAAAGAAGAAAGAAAGAAAGAAAGAAAGAAAGAAAGAAAGAAAGAAAGAAAGAAAGAAAGAAAGTCCTATGGAAAAAAGTGGAGAGGTTCAGGGATGAAAAGGTTTTCCCCTAGAGACCACACCTCTGAAGCCACCACACTCCCTTTACATTCCCCACCACCACTTCTGACCAGCAGGCTCCATCATGCTTTGAAAGTATTCATCTACACTGCTGCAATGTGTAACTGTCCTGAGCTCTCTCAGGAAACACTAGTTCTTGAATTCTATTTGCCGCTTTCTTCAGCCCTCCAAAGCAATGGGTCTCACCCTTAAGTATGCACCAGAATTCCTTGGAGGATTTGTTAAGGCAATGAGTGTCTGCTTCAGTAAATCTGTGGTGAGGCCTGATAATCTGCATTTTCAACAGGTTGCCAGGTGATGCTGATGCTGCTGGACTGAGGACCACACTTTGAGAACCACTGCTCAAATCTCAGTTGCTTTGAAACTCACCCCCTGCTGGCTAACTTGAAAATGCAGACTGATTCTTGGATTCTTGACACCCCTAGTCTTCAGGTATCTATGTCCCAAGACCAAAGGTATATTTCCTTCAGCCTCCTGGTACTTTATTCATGTACACACTCCCTGAGCATCCTCCTAACACTTATTTACCCACTCCTTTGTCCCAGACCCTTCCTACCTGTCTTGGCAAACCTCTCTTTCCCCATCATGCTCACTTAATACGTCTTGTTTTTTGGCTGCCTTCCTTGAACAGCTCTATGAATGGCATTAGCTCCTACTTTACTCTTCTTTACATTATGTGGCTTCCTGATTGTGGGTTTTGGGCATGGACAATTCTGGTTTGAATCCTGTTTCTGCCTCTTCCTGAAGTGTGTGATCTTGGGGAAGTTGCTTGAATTCTCTGAGCCTTAATCTGTCACCTGCAAAATCAGGTTGTGAAAACAAAATGGAAGAATGTCTATAAGAGGGCCTAGTACATAATAGTTGACCAATTAATGGTACTCTCTTTCTTTACCCCCTCTACTTTCCTTACACCTGCCTATCTTCCCCCACCCCCCAGTAAGAAACTGGCAGTAAATAAGAATTAGACAATGCAGGAGTAAAGTCTTTCATTAGTATTAAAGAACATGGTAAATGAGAGAGGGAGGCCTATACAAAGTGATATATCACTTAAGAGAAAGGAGAGATAATTTTCAATGGGTGGGCATCAGGATAAGCTTCAGGAAGATGATAGCATCTTCCCTCCCACTCCCATTTCTCCAGCTAAAAAGCTGAATGTCATCCAAGATTCCTAGTTTTTGTCTCACTCTCCACATGCCTTCCATTGACAAATGCTGTCATATCAGTATTCTAAATGTCTTTTGAATACACCTACTTCTCTGTTTCTCCACTACCATAGCCTTGGTCTGAGCCATACTCATCTCTTAACAGGATCATTATAATAACCACCTTGCTGTGATTTTTGCCTTAATTTCTGTCCCACATATTCTGCTCTTCGAATAACAGCCAAAACTACTTTTCCCAAACCACAAAGGTGATTTTTTTTTAAGTTTATTTATTTATTTATTTATTTATTTATTTTTTATTTATTTTTGGGACAGAGAGAGACAGAGCATGAACGGGGGAGGGGCAGAGAGAGAG